CTTTTCATTCCACGGCATTGACAGAATAACAAAGCATCTGTTTTATGAACTCAGGTTTCCTAGCTTTTTTCTTTGTAATTCATAACAAAATAAAGACTTCAGGCCAGGATACATTTCTGTTCCCCTTTCATGAGATATTTAGAGAAAAGACTCTAGGTCATTACAAGGCTCTTAAGGTCATCATAAGGGGCTTGTACAACATCCTCTTTTTTATTCACTTCATGTAGCACCACCCTTTTCCAATCAATCTATCTCTCTATCTATCATCCATCCATCTATCCATCTATCTATTTATCTATCTCTCTATCTATCTATCTATCTATCTATCTATCTATCATCCATCCATCTATCCATCCATCCATCTATCTATCTATCTCTCTATCTATCATCCATCCATCTATCCATCTATCTATTTATCTATCTCTCTATCTATCTATCTATCCATCTATCTATCATCCATCCATCTATCCGTCTATCTATCTCTCTATCTATCTCTCTTTCTATCATCCATCTATCTATCTCTCTATTTATCTATCTATCTACATCTCTATCTATCATCCATCCATCTATCCATCTATCTCTCTTTCCATCATCCATCTATCCATCTATCCATCCATCTATCCATCTATCTATCTATCTATCTATCTATCTATCTATTTATTTATCTATATATCTCTCCATCTATCTATCTATCTATCTATCCATCTATCCATCTATCTATCTCTCCATCTATCTATCTATCTATCTATCTATCTCTCTATCTATCCATCTATCTATCTATCTCTCTTTCTTTCATCCATCTATCTATCTCTCTATCTATCCATCTATCTATCTATTTATTTATCTATCTATCTCTCCATCTATCTATCTATCTATCTATCCATCTATCTATCTATCTCTCTTTCTTTCATCCATCTATCCATCTATCTATCTATCTATCTCTCTATATATCTATATATCTATCTATCTATTTATTTATCTATCCATCTATCCATCTATCTATCTATCTATCCATCTATCTATCTCTCTCTCTCTCTAAGTTTGTGGCCTTCGTAATTTAAATTGTAATTATTACTTAACACACTATGGTTAGACTTGCAGTGCGGACCTGTGTCTACCTTACCCTTCAGTTCAGGCCTGATATTTAAAAAATACTGCAGGCCTTGTCTTTATCTTCAAGTGGAAACTTCCTTTGTTTTGTGGCTGATAAATATTGCCTTTTTTGGTGAATTCTGTGGTATTTTTCACGAGTCATCCTCTGTGAAAAGGTCAGAGTGTCACCTCTCCGTGTTCACCTTTTCCTTCCTTGGTAACCAAACAGGAACCAGCTGGTTTGATGATTCAGGTTTCCCAGTGTGTTGCTGTGGAATTGGAAAGACCGGGATGACTTCAATATTTATTTAAACGCACTTCGAATTCCCCCCTCAGGATATATTTTACAAGGAATAATGAAGCTCTGAAAGCCTCATCATATGTGGCAAGAACACGTTGCACACGTTGTTTCTCTTATAACTGAAGATATATGCAAACATCCTGTCTTTATATGCAAATAAATGATTCGGAAAGTCAGGTGTTTTGAAGAAAAGTCTTTATTTGCAGTGCATTTACATTCAGGTAACATTTTCCAAGTGTTGCATAGTCCTTGATGCATATTTGGCTTTACAATCTTCAGGGAACAAAGCACACAGTGAGTCCAGGAAACTTCACCTGAAGGCTGGTTTGAGATGAACGTACCGGCTCAGTTTAGGATCAGTGGTGCAGAGATTGTGACAGATGCTACATGTTTACTTTTTAAAGAACAGAATGATACAGAAACTCTCATCGATTCATAAGAAGTCTTTGGGACGATCAGATCCAGAACAAGGTCTCAGGTCTACCTCTTCTCTGAGTTTGATTTGATTTCAAACCCTTCCAGTTCTCTAGGCTGTAGTGATTGTTGATTTGACCCCAAAAAGTTATCCAGTTGCAGTTTTTGGAAGTCTTTTTCTAAATATGTTAGAACTCTTTATCCGTAGCTGCAGAAACGTTCAGTAAAAGTGTGTTTGGACTGAGTGTATTGGACGAGAGGATTTATTGAATAAAAATGGAAAACAGACTTGCTTTTGGTCGTACCAGAAAGTCATAGAAACTTTCATTAGAAGTCTTTGGGATGACCAGATCCAGAACCAGGTCTCACCTCTGCTTTAAACAGGCTGTGATTTCAAAATGCTCCAGTTCTCCGTGGTCAATGAAGAGAAGTCTCTAAGTTTCTATACTGGTATTTTGGACTAAGAGCAGCGTGTGTTTGACGAATGGTCTCGATTGTCTAAAAATTGGAAAACAGACTTGCTATGAGCGGCGTGAATAGAGTTAAAAAGAGATCTTTGAGACAGTTTATAATATTTTAACCTTGGTTAAAAAAAGGGCTTATCTTGAATTGTCTTTCCCCTCTGAAATGTCATCCTGACTTGGTCTTGTTTTTAGGGTTGAAAGCTCCAGAAGAAGCCAGGACATTGAATGCAGATTTGTCAGCTTTAGCATCTGTTAGCTGTTCTGTGGGCTCAAGCTTGAATTGTTCCAGATAAAATGAACAGAGGAAAATCAAAAGCCCAAGAATTTAGAATAACTGGAGGCATCAACGCTCAGGAATGGAACATGTTTTTGTGGACTATTTAAAGTACAAGTATCTGTCATCGTTTTGCAAGAGGTAGGCATTGAAGAAACACAGGAAGTCTCTTCGTCATTATTATAATTCAGATAAAGTATGTGCCGTCTCTTACTTCCTGTTCAGTGTTTCGTCATACCTACAGTTCTGTTCAACAGCTACAGCCACAACAAGATGAAAAAACTAAACAGATCTTTTGATTAGATTCTTCCAAACTCCGATATAGTAACTCTGTATAATAACTACTTAACAAACCTTTTTGTTATAATCATATAGAAAGAATACAGATATGTTGAAGTCCATAGCACCTGTAACATATGTCCCAATAACTCAAAGTATGTAGCATATCCCGACATGCCGTACTTCAAGAGTATAATGTAAGTAACAGTACAAAAAATACATACTTCATGTATAATGCCGATGCAATAACAGCGTATCAAGTGTCATGCTGTTAGAAATAACAGCAATTCTTAAAGGGTGCCTTAAAATCACCACAGACCAAGCGTCTAATATTAGTGATTATTTTACCTATGGCTGTGAGTAGTAGCACCCTTTGGTTTTTAGATTATAGATTTGGCTGTTGTACCTCCGTAAAACAAAATTACGGATAATCCTGCAGTTAAATCCGTAATCCCTCCTACGCTAGAAGATCTCCTCTCCGTCCACTCTTAAACAAACGTATATACATTATTTTCTAACTTTCCTGGAAGAACGGATGCAGTTCTTGGCTAAATAGGCTGTGCAGATTTTTGCAGAAGTCAAATACAGTTCACCTGATTAACTGAGGTACAATCAACCAAACTGCACGTCCAACCTCATGTTTGTTTCATGTAAAGTGCTATCACATTCCTAAAAGAAAATGTCCAGTTACCTTTTAACACAGCAGCTGCTTTCACTTCACATTGAACACCATTTGTTTTTTAAGTTCTTCTTTAACTTGACAATGTGTGTTAGTATTGAACCAGGATGAACCTGACTGACTTTGCTTTTCCACTGTCTGTTCCTGTGGCGCCACCATGAGGTTGACTTTGGTGGTTTTGAAGTCAAATGTCTTAAATTGGTTGGATGGTTTGCTTTAACAATTGCTACACACATTTAACCCCCCCTCAGCAAAAATGTTGACATCAAAATGTTTCTTCTGCCCCAAAAGTCCTATCATTTAATTTATAACCAAATACCTGCAACTTATACCAAACCTCAGCCTGACTTTCTGCTAAATGCTACATAGTTTAAAATGTCAGCATGCTTACATTTTAAACTAACGTAAATAAGCATTTTTAAGAATCGCCTTGGACTTTGGGAAGCAATGACGAACATTTTGTGGTAGATGCTGATAGTCAGCCTGTGTTAGCATATCTTCTGACTGTTCAGCTGTTGACTGTTTTGGGGCTTTTGTTAAAGTTTCAAATAGCATTTCATTTACTAAAATATATTTTTTGATTTCATTCAGCCTTTTTTTGAGCTAGCCATCCAGGAACACCGTGGATAATGAGTACAGCACCAGATCTGTTCCAGACGGAGAACCACTTTCCTTATGAGGATAATAATACATATTGTACAACATGGCATGGTCCATCAACTGAAACGGTAACATATTGGGTTCAATTCCAGTCTTTCTCCATCTCAAATAAAAAAAACATTGTCTGTTAAAAAGTCACATCTGTGTCATCATACGAGCGTCTTCACTAACGATAGGTTCATCAGGAGCATCAGCACCATCAGGTGGAGGCTGCAGGTGTTCGGCGGCGCCTCGTTCTCCCGTCCCTCCCACCGTTCCCCCTGCTCGTCCTCCCACTCAGTCCTTTTCCTCTCCTTCTCCTCGTCTTCCTCCTCCTCCTCCCTCCTCGGCTCGTCGTCCTCCCTCACAATGTTGATGGAGTCGCATCTCTCGCCTTCGTGTCCCTCGTAGCAGTGGCAGCGAAACCTCTTGGTGAGCAGCTGCAGCTCGTGCTGAGAGTGCCAGCCGGTGACGGAGAAGTCCCCGTCGTTGGAGGGCTGGATGTGGTAGGAGGTGCCGCTCAGGTGGAGGTAGTGGCGGGCGAGGGGGTTTCGCCGGACGCAGCGGCCGTTCCCCTGGCACAGGAAGTCGCTGCAGACCTCGGCCGCTCGCGTCACGTTGGTGATGTACTGACCCAGGCGGTGGCTCAGCAACGTCTTCACCTTGGTGCAGTTAAACTGTGGAAATGGAAAAACAAATAACTGTCAGGATGTGAGGGAAGACTCCAGTTTGGCTCCTAGATTAAGTTTTCAGTAGCAGTAGGCAGGTACTTACTGTACATCAAACCAGCTCTGATAAACCAATCGTAGCCTACTGGACTTTTTTAGATACAAGTGGTCACGCTACTTTCTAGCATTGGATACCAAATGTACGTGCCACTTGGCCCAAGGCACTGATTTTGAGGAACGCTTTTATTATTGTCTATGCCATTAAAGTTCACAAGATGTTTCAGAAAACATTGAAGACATTTAATGAGTTTTTAGTGCTTCCTAGCGTGATGGAATCTTCTGGAGCAATGGAGACTCAGAGAGACACGAGGAGAGAGCAGGAACTTTGATGGCAAACACTGACGGTTTATTTGGAGCTTCGGCCGGAGAATTCACAAGACATGAGCTGAGCCACGAGGTGAGTCCGCTGCTGCCTAACCACTTCTGAATAACTCTACCCCAGACCCATGTATTTAGCTGGTTCTGAGAGAAGAATCAACATGCTGCATAACAAGATAAACCATAACACCTCTATCAGCTGACGCCAACAGGCAGGAACAGGGAGACGAAACATAGAGAGCACAAATGCAAACGCGTTAATTTGTGGCTTTGCTACCCCCAGATTTCACAACAACATTGAGCCTTTTTAAACCTTTCTTTCTTTTACATGATGAAAATAGTTCACCAAGATGTGTTTCAGATAAGATTTGATGTGAGGAACAAACCGTGAAGTAGCTGAAGTCGAACAAACATCTAAATATCTGCTTTAAATGAATATAAAACACTCCCTGAGAATCTGAGACAGTCAGATGCTCTCTGGATGAACTCTTCTCCATGCAGACAGGATAACTGCAGGCCATAAAAACATGTGTATTATAGTTTTTAAAATTGTCAAGTGGTTTCACAACACGCGGCGACCACATGATGTCAGCTCTCTATTGTCTCGCTATATTTACAGCTGTGGTTTGTTTGGATTCCAAAACAAATGAAGACGCTCGAAGAAAGAATGTTTTTTTTAACAACACTCAACAGCACAAATTAGAAAGAAAACATCTGACAGTAAATCAACAAATGACGTGTATTTAGATCTCTGTGGATCTATCAATCATTTTCTAACAAGGAGAGTCAGGACATACTTTCCCTCTGTGAGCGAGCTTTCAAAGAGAGGGGGTAAAGATGTTATTTTATTTTTGGAAACAGGCGGAGGACACCCACCCTGGAGGAGGTGAGGTTCAGATCTCCCCAGATGACGAAGCCAGCAGCTCCCAGAGCAGCACTTTCTCCGATGGTGTGGATCAAGTCTTTCTGCAGGACACACAAAGGTACAGACGTCACATATTATGGTCTGTTTCCTTCACTGACACACAAGTAAAGTCATATAACACACATTTACTTTAACACCAGGCCCAAAGTGCAAAAAAAGTTATTTGTGAAGCATAATGAAATATTTGATTGCATTAAAATCCTCAAACACATCCGTGACCGCCCTGGTCTCACCATGTTCGAATCACAAATCAAAACAGAATCATATAGTACATCAGGTTTCATAGAGCCAAACATTTCAAGTGCTACTCAACTGGCTTTAGATAAGCCAGTCCTTTATTAGTATATAAGTGCTCTGTTAGCATTTATTTGTTAGTAATTCTATCGCTCGAAGTGGGGTCCAAAGAGATGAGTTTTCAGTCCCCCTCCCCCCCCCC